ACCCGGGTAGTCAGCCAGGTTTCCACTAGGTTCTTTTGAAATCACACTGAGGTGTGCACAGCCCCGAGGGCTGATATTGCAACCACACAGCCCTGACTGTTACCTCTTCCGCCCCTCCCAGGCCAATTTCCTAAACCTTGGATGTGTGTCCAGAGAACAGTTTGGGTTTTGTGACAAAATACCTTCGAAACTTAGCCTGCTTGCCGTGGTCATCCACTTAGAGGCTGAACAATTGCAATGAGCTCTCCACAAACTTGGAGCCTTGAATTCTGCTGTTTGGATAGGGAGATTCGGAAGCCCCAAACCCTGCAGATTCACACTCACCATTGGGATGGGAACATGTTAGAACATTGGCCCATGGGCTGATGAATATGCTCTGTCTGTCCACAGCCATTAGGAACAGTCAGAAGGTTTCAAAGTTCAAGACAGGGCACTCCACCTTCAGCTCAGAATCTGTAATTGAGGGAGAACTGGAGAGTTTTTACCTGTGGACTCCGTGGGGGCAGTGGCAATGAGTAATGAGTTCTCGACCTATGGGTCATGACCTCGGTGGTGAGGTATTGAATGACCCTTTCACAGGGCTCATGTATCAGATATTTACATTAAGATTCACAACAGTAGCAAAATTACAGTTGTGAAGTAGCAACAAAAATAATTTTATGGTTGGGGGTCACTACAATACGGCAAACTGTATTAAAGGGTCGTAGCATTAGGAAGGTTGAAGAACCACTGGAGTGGAGGAAGGCTCTTAAGTCAGGCCAACAGACACTACTGGAAGCAGATGCTGCAGTGTTTGTAGGGAGGAGGAGTGTGGTTGATGCTGCATTGTCTGCCCATCTCAGTGGATTTAGCTGAAACCAAGAACTTGAGCTGGCTGTGAGTCATTTCCTCATTACTGTTTGGAACCTGGTAGCCAGGCCAATGGCAGGCTGAGTACTATGAAGGTCTGCCTCTTCACTAATGGAAAAAGCAGTTCATTTATGGGAGCCTAAGTTTGCTCAAAATGCTTTCTTTTAAAGTTCTGCTAAAATTTCCTGAATGCTGTATTTGTTTGTGGTCAGAAAGCTGTGAGCTTCCAGAAGGATGAGCTACTGGCTCTGGACTGGGCTGTGAGCTAATGAGCAGGTTAATGGAAGAGGAATCCAAGATATTGGTCTGCCTCTTTGATGATTGATTGGGTTAGATGTAGGGTGTAGATGAAGGGTCTGTGGACCAGGCTGTGAAGGGACACAGGTCCCTGGTGTGCATGGGGTTAAACTGAGGTACCATTTTGCAAGCAACTGCCTGCACTTGTGCAGAAAATAGACCAAACTTCCCTCCGGCTCTTTATACAGGTGGAGAGAGAGGACATCCATGTGCCAAAGTGTGAGAGCATTTCTGTCATCCAGGCATTTAGGCTGAAATTACTTTAACAGTTTTGAACATGAACGTTTATTGAAGTGAGCTAGCAGTCCAGGCTGTGGTGCTGAACTGTATGTATTGGATGGCCCAGTGATCCCAGACATGTGAAAGCCTGGAGAACATGACCTTCTGATACCCGTGTCTTCTGATGATGTCACAGGGAGGGGGTGACACCTTATGGCTGTTTCCATTGTCCATTGGGTCCAGCCTCTGCATCTCTATTTTTGTTAGTGATGCACAGCACTCTGGAACTGCACATTCAGGTGGAGAGGGTTTCTGTTTTGTGTAGGTCAGAAATTAGAGGATCATCTGAGATGTGGCGCTTTCCCAGGAACACACCAGATGTTTTCCCGAGGAGCAAAGGGCAGGCAGGGCATCTGCCCCTCACACATGCACAACCACCTTGGGTGCCTCAGGACATGTTCTCATATAACCTGCGATACTTGCAGATCAGCTCGGTGGCTTTTCAAACTATTCAAACATGGTTTGATCATCAAGCATTGGTGAAAAGAGCTCCCATTCAAAGTCAAGAATCCCCTGCCTACTCTTCCTCTCTTGAGACTTTGCCCCATATAATTCAACCTGGTCAAACTTGCTGAGTATCTGAGGATGACCTTGGACTTGTGGTCCTCCTGCCTCTGCCTCCTGAGTGCTGGGATTATGGGTGTGTGACACCATGCCCAGATTTATGAAGTGCTGAGAATCAAACCAAGGGCTTTGTGCATGCTACCCATGCACTCTACCAACTTACCTCCATTCCGGCACACTCCCCTTTCTTTGGTAAGCTTGTTGATACGGTGGCTGCTGTGGACTGAAGATGCTGTCTGGACACAGCTGGTGGCCTTTGATGGCATCCCCTCTGCCCTCACACCCTTGCCACTGTCTTTCACATACACACATATGTATATATAATATATAATGTGGGGGTTTTGATAAAGGAAAATTACTTACATTTGTGGAGTATGATGTTGTATTTCAACAAGTGTACACATCATTTTATGTTTAAATCTTGATAATAGTATTTATCTCCTCAAATATCAGTCATTTCTTGGTGATAAGAACATTAGAAGTCTTCCTCTTTTTTCCCCCTCACTTCCCATCTCATTATTTCATCATTTTTTTTCTTGTTTCATGAGCTTTTCCTATTTCAAAATATATCTGTTGACACCAACTTGCCCGCATCCTTTCCTCCTTTTTTGCCCGTGACTGTCGAGGTTAGTGAAGTCTGTGGCAACTCTCAGGGCAGCTGGTGACCGATATCACTTCTGTAGGGACTCATAGTACAGGTGCTATGTAGTGTGTGTGTGTGTGTGTGTGTGTGTGTGTGGTGTGTGTGTGTGCGCGCGCGCGCGTGCACGCGCACGCGCAGGTGAATGCGTGTGTACACACATAATTTCATATATAATCATGCTTTGACATATTAAAAATGAAACGAAATAGAATTATCATTTTATCTGGAGAGACACCAACCCTCTGAGGGCTTAACTACCTCTTAGAGACAGCGAAGCATTAGTGCCGCATTAGAAAGTACCTGGGCTAAGCAAGCTAGCAGAGCCAACACCTCCTCTCTGGTCTACATACAGAGAGGGGAAACTTGTCCACCTTAATCGGCACAGGTCAGGTAGGTACCAGGCCACCAGGGACCACTCCACAGCTTGAAGCCCACTGAGGTTAGTCTAACTGGCCGATTCTTCACTGCCCACACGGCCTGTGTTGCCCTCCTATGAGTCCTTGTGTGGCCAAGCACACCCTTGTTGTTTTAGGACCAGAGAAGAGGAGGAGCAGGGAGGCTGGGTACCACTCCAAGGCCGAAGGCAGTGTTTCATTCTGATGAGGCAGTAATGGCCTCCAAGTATGGAGTGATGTCATGGCTGGTACCATGTACCCAAATGTTAACATGGGACACCGAGGGACTAAGCTCCCCTTAGAGAAACATGCAAAGAGCTTCTTTCTTTCCTCCAGAGCCTGAGTGATCCTAGCTAGGCGCAGAAGGGTTTCAAAGTGGGGCCCAGGGGCTCTTCTCCAGAGTGCGCTCCCTGCAGTTGGTGACTTTCTGAGGTACCAGATATCAAAATGTGGCCAAGGAAGAAAGCAGGCAAGGATACCACAAGGTCTGAGGCTGCAGGGCTCCTTCTGGCTTTGCTATGCAGAGCCGCCACCTAGAAGCCAGGAGGTGGGCTGGCTCATTTCCTGTCTTCTGAACCCATCACTGTCCCCACTTCACCGGCTTCTTCCTGACTTGCTGGAAGACCCACTTTTCTATTGCTTTTCTTCTCATACGTCCTCAGCATTTCCCCAGGGCCGCAGGTGCTGAACCCAAGAGAGGGCTTTTCTGATTTTGCTGCTCCCTCTGACTGGGCTGTATCCCTAAAACCCTGCTCTATCCCCTGCCCTCTCTCCTCATTCCATGGGGATCCACTGTCCATTAGGAACAGGTAAAGTTTTGGATGAGTGGGGTTCTAGCCTCCAGCCACACATACCAGTGTAACTGGTCTGCTGGGTAGGAATGAGGATATTCTAAAGAGACACTTAGGTCCCCTCCTTCCACTAAGGAACCAAGTAAATGAAATTCCCCCAGGAATCTGATGCTGAGAGAAAGAAAAGGCCTCAGCCAGAGGTGAATCTCATCTCCTAGAAACAGATTTAGTTTTGACAACTTGCTAAACTGGAGCCTAGACAGTGATGGGTAGGGCTGCACTTTGGCCAGGACTGCTTATCTAGGCATGTAACTGGCACCGTACTCAAGCAGAAACCTCACGCCTAAAGATGGACTTGGAGGGTAGGCCACCAAACCTGTTTGTCCCTCTTCCAGGTGTGGCCACAATGAACAAAAAACTCTTTTGTGTGTTCTTAATAATTCCTTGTGTTAATAATCTTTGTTAATCAGTGTCAGACTTGGTTGACTGAAGCTATCAAGGCCAAGTTCTGACCTTTAATGACTCGAGATATGCTTTGAAGCTTGCGATTCATATCCTGCCTCTCCACAGGCTCAGTTCTGGTGTCTTGGGAGTCAGATAGCTCCTATGATCAGGCACAGCCCTCTTCTATTCCTGCTCAGGCCTCTACAGACTCCAGCCCCATGTATCAGCTTCCTCTAACCATAGGCAACCCATAGAGAGGAGAAGGACTCCTTACCAGGATGGGACTCCTTAGGACCCCCAATTGGATAAAGGCTCCTCGGCCACTCAGGGCTGTCAGGTCACAGGATGACACCACAGCATGGCTAATGAAAAAGACTGTCATCTCTGGGCACCTGGGTCTCTACAGATGCCCTGTTGGCTGCTGTCAGTCCGCAGAATGATGTTTCTAGTCCCAAGAATGGGATGGAGGCCCCTTGAGGGGACTATGGGACCATTCTGAAGCCAAATGTACAGGGGATATAAATCAGACAGTGAACCCTCTAGGTCCCCAGTGAACCCTCTAGGTACCCAGTAAGCATGGTGCCCAAACTTCTTTGACCACAGGTGAGTGTCCACAGATTAGCACATATCTGATGGGTTGTCATCATGGAGATTTCACTGAGGCCTTGCTCTGGGCGCAGGAAGTTGGCACAGAATTGGGTGGTTCCTGGCCAGTGGGGTGCCACACTTTGCTCTCCCTGTCACTACCACAGTGGCCTCGGGTTGCTGTTCATAGCAACAGAGCGAGCTCACTTCTGACTGGCCTGCTGGGTAGAATCCAGGCCACTGGCCACAGCCCAGCTGAGGTTAATCAAGGTCTCATCCCAGGCTCTGCAGTCTCTGCTGGTCTCTTGGCCTCACATCTTCTTTGTGGGATCCTTCCTTATTGACAGCTCCTTCAGCTGGTCAGGAATCCACCGTCCAGGATTAGAAGGTTTAACAATCTGAGCAGGTAAGAGAAGAATGGAATGTGCAGTTGTGGACACTGACTGAGGATCCTGGGGAGGATATGAGGGCAGGTGGCTTGGGGCTGGCTTGTGTGGGCAACTCAGGATTCTCTACAAGGTAGGGAGTTGGGATTCCTTGCTAGGCTGGCAATATTCAAAGGGACCCTGGGGACATAACTCTAGAAAAACCATCGAGATCTGTACGGTAAACCCTGGCCATCATCTTACAGGCCCTGACAATAGGTTGCTTTCTAACTAGCACTCTTTGGAATGGATTGCAGCTGGAGTTTTCCTGTGTTCCATCCAGTCCGCAGCCACTCAGACCCAAGTAAACCCACAGAGGCTTATATTAATTAAAACTGCTTGGCCATTAGCTCAAGCTAACTGCTGACTAGCTCTTATACTTAAACTCAGCCCATTTCTCTCAATCTATATGTTGCCACGTGTTCCATGGCTTTATGTGTGTGCCATGACATGCTGCTTCCTGGATGGTGGGCTGGCGTCTCCTGACCTCCAGACCCATCAGGGTGTCCTTCCTCCCATATCTCTACACACCAACTTCTGAGGCATCTGGACATGCCTGCTGCTCTTTTCCTGCCATCCCCGCCTTCTTCAGCATTCAGCATATTGGGTTTCCAGGAAGATTCTCCCTGCCCTCACTTCCATGACACAGTCCTGGATTTTGAGAGAATGTGATCAAGATCTGGATGATTGCAAGAAGACAGAGGAAGAGAGCCCCTCCAACTTGCCTTTTCCCTCCATTGCAAAGAAATGTAGCACTTGTGCCCTAACAAGAGTTTGGCATAAAAATAGGCAGAAAGAGAAAGAAAATGTAGAAAAATGCACTTAGTCCCTCACCCTCAGAGATGCACATGTGTCCTGAGGCAAGCTTGACTCCCTGGAGGAAGGAGGGGATGGCTCCTGACAGAGGCAAGGTTAGGATTTGCCTTGAGGAAATGTGGAGGATTCTAGGCACATCCAGTGGGCTGCACAAACTCCGTTCCATAACTTTTGAACCCAGAAGACCCCGGCATAGCTCACTGACGCCCAGGGACCTTGTAATCCCTCTCCTTCCTTCCTTCCTTCCTCCGCCAACCAGAGGTCCAGGAAGAGCTCTTCTCATGGTATCTACCTCTAGCAGGTCAGTTCAGTTTAGTGCACTTGGCTTCACGCTAAGATTTTATCAATGTATCATGTTGACTTGTGCGAGGATGGCCAGTAGGTTGTAAGAGTCGGCAACAGTGAGCCTGTCCTCAATGCTCATCCTGTCCAGTGCTCATTGTGTGTGCTCCTTTCCTCCTGTCTCAAAGTGAGAACACCGGCTTTTCTCTCCTGCTCAGTCTCAGGCAATCAGGACCACTTCTGGGTGAGCATTTCCAGGGTGTGATTGTGACATCTGGTGGTGGAGGCTGGCTCTTTGTGAAATGGCAGCTTTGGAAATGGTGAACCCATATCCTTCGCTAAAGGGCCGATGAGCTCCACGGCCCAGGACTTTGTAGCACATAGAGAGCCTCCACCTGCTCCCCACAGGAGTCACTTCTTCACCAACTCAGCTGTTTCAGCTGTGGAAGAAGATCTAGTGCCTTCCAGACCCATGCAAGAAGAATCCCTCTTGAGCAAATGTCCTTCCCAGGGAAGGATGACTAACTCTTCCCTTACAGCCTCAATGATGGATATAGCATCTTTTCCAGTTTTGCATCCTTCCGAATGGTCATATCTGGCATAAAGCCAGTGTTTGATAAAGTTTGGCTTGCAGAATGAATTAATTAATGGATAAAAACATGAACAGGTAATGTCACCTGACATTTGGGTTGCTGGATTACAAGGACTGAGTCTGTTAGCTGTGATTCCTTTGTCCCCACTTGTCCCTTGAGCAGTGTTCGTGGGAGTCACCATGTCCTGGTCCTCAGTTCTGAAGAGTCTCCTTGCTGTCTGCATCTGCACTCACTTGTCTGTCAGCTCTGTGGGTAAGAGCAACAAGGCACTTTCTGTTTCAAGGATGGGAAGTGGGGGATGCCACTAAGGTACCTTAGGGGGACTCCTTGAATCACTCAAGCCTTCAGGAGTCCCTTCAACACTCATGACTCCTTGACCCCTGGGAAAGTTTGTCAGCAGCTGAAAAGCCCCAGGTTGGCTTTCTGAACATGTTTATTTCCTCTTTTCAGAGAGTTATGCTTGTGATAACAGAAAATGCTATAATGGGAGATGCGAATCTAATCCAAAATGTCAATCCACTAAAGGCTGCTTCTTCCATGTGCAGGAATTAAAAGAACAAAGTAAGCCAATCAACACTCTTAGAGTTGTCTAGTGATCCTTTCCTCCTTCAAGGATGGGGCTGGGAGTGTGAGCTTCTGGGAGGTGTTAGGGATGGGCATTAATACTAGATGTAGTCTCTAGGGACAGAACTGAGAGACCCTGGTTCTGTTTCTCATATCAATCTCATAGGGCTACTGGAGAGTGAGCCCACACTTCTTTTTGCCATGCTGGGAATCAAATTCATGGCACCATGCATGCTGAGCAAATACTCTATCACTGGACCCCTGTCCTGATGCAACAAAGTGTCCCTCTATTGATTCATTCTCAGAAATAATAACAGAGGGACTTTCAGAGATGAGGAAAAATAAAGACAGAGAGAATGAAGGAACAGATTCCTTACTGCTGGATGCTTCATTCTCTCTGTATCTCAGAAGAGAACATTTCTTGGGGGTTTGCTCCTCAGATAATCCATTCGGAAGCCTAAAGATTAAGGACATTAGCTGTTCTGAAGATGAGTGTACTGAACTAGCATTCTCAACAACACTGGGGGGCCAGCGGACGTTTAGCTACGACCACCAATGCTGCTACACCGAGCAGTGCAACACGATGTCCAAACGTGATGGTGAGTACAGCTGATGGTCGCCACTATCTGCTCCATGTTTCCTTTGCCTTTCTGTAGGCTCATCTCTCTGTGCTGGGACACAACAATGATGCTTGCCTTCCTTTTGTGGATAGCACTCCTTGAAAATGGTTTGAGACAGATACAGGCTCTTCTCCTGTGTGGTAGACTGAGTGACAGTTGCGTGGCAGGGACTGGTCTTGGGGATTTTCTCTAAGTGTGAGTCTTTTGGCTTAACTGCTTTGCTCTGGCCCTCTGGCCGACAGGCTTTGCTCACCGATTTAATTTCTCAGGTTCATTTTTGTTTTGTTGAGAAGTCGTCTTGCTGTGTTTCGGAAGTTTGTCTTGAACTTGTAGGTTGAGGCAATCCTCCTGCCTCAGCCTCCAAAGTTGGAGTAGCTGGGAGTACAAGTGTGCGTGACCACACCTGGCTCATTCCTCACCCTTCTAGAAAACGGTTTATCTCTTCTCCTGTTAGCCAGGCCTTTTTTTGTTTGTTTTGGTTTTTTGAGACAGGGCTTCTCTGTGTAGGCCTGGCTGTCTATCTTGGACTTTTTCTCCAGGACTGAATGCTGAGCAGCTGACGAAGGTGAGGACAGCACGGATTTCTATGCCGTCCTTCCCTGTTCTCACACACCAGTGCCTTTCTCCCGCACCTCCTTCCAGCTCATCTCCGTTGCAATGTTTTTTGGTAGAATCATGGGAAAAAAAAAAAACCCCAAACCAAACAAACCTCATTTGGATGAGTAGTGGATAGACACATTCTCAGCTATTTCTTCTGCCTATTCCCTAAGATGAAAACTTTTCTCTCTCCATTCAGATCCTTTTCCATCTTCCAAACCCCAACCCAATGGTGTGGAATGTCCTGCCTGCTACAGTGAGGACGGGAAGTGTGAGCCGGTTCCCCTGAAGTGCACAGGGTTAGAGACGAAGTGCGTTGTGGTTTTTGGTACAGGTATGAGACTTCCTCGAACATCTTGTAAAGAGCACAACAAATCATCCATCACTAGGTAGTGAACTATGCCAAAAGTAGCAACTGCAAACAGCCGACATTTATTACTTCTCAGCAAGTGTAGATCTGTCATCTGGGAATGGCCCGGCGCATGGTCCTGGCTCAGGGTGTGTCATGCGGGCTGTGTTCATGTGTCAGTCACTGTTTCCCAGCTCACGTGTGGTTTCTCACTGGGGGGGGGGGTGTTCAACTCCTTTTCTTATGATCTCTTCATAGCCTGCCACAGTGTTCTTCTGACTAATCACTGACTTCCCTCAGGGCAAACGATAGAGACACAGAGAGAAAGAGAGCTGTGGATGTAATGCTCTAATCTCTGAAGTGACGCATTATTTCCCTCTTATAGACTGTTGGTAGTTTAGAGCAACCCTGATTGGACCTGGGTGGAAGCTACCGGGGGATGGAAGAGACCCTGTGGGGCATCTTTGAAGCCTGTCTCCACATGGAGAAAGTGGTCGTATGGGGCCATGTGCTTCTAAAGGTGGGAAGGAGCTATTTGTTGGGAGACAGGGGTTACGGATGGGAGGGGAGGGGAGGAGATGAAGGGGTGTATCTGCTTCCCACAGGAGAGTCAGGTTCGCTGACTCTGTGTCGCTGTGATGTCCTGGAACGGGACTGTGGCTCACTGGAAGTGTAGGAGGTGATGGCCCTTCAGATCCAGTCATTACCACCGCCACCACTGTGACAGCCAAAGCCCGTGATTAACCACTCAAGTGTTACCTGGTGTCACTCTACATTTAGTAAAAGATAGATTTTTTTTTTTAAAAAAAGAGAAAATGGTGTATTTGTTATGAAGGACCCATATACCATCGAGACAGGAACTGAGAAACAACTGTAAGACCTTTCTTTCTGGAATGCACAGCTAGAGGGCGGAGCTGGCCACTCTTTCCTGAACAATATATGGAAAGTTTTGGGGAGCAGGTGGCGTTTTTAGGAGCTGGTTAAGTGGTGGACTGAGAGTTTGGTAGGTCTGGGGACAAGCTACACTTTTACTGGGAAAGAATTTTGACAGAGGTTCTGGGGTGAGCGAGGGAAGGGCCCTTTGTCTAGATGAGTTGAGATGAATGAAGAAAACGGGGTGTCACAGAATGCAAAGGAGGATTAAAGCCATGCACAATGGGGCAGGCTTCTGCCTCAGTTTACCTTGGGAAACATTGGTACCCGGTGCCTTCTATAGTTATTCTCATAGCGAACACAGAGCCCTCAGAAGAAGGAATGTCAATTTTTGAGGGATGCACAATATTTCCCTCCAGGTAGAGAAGGAGAGGAAGGGGCGGGGAGGCATACTAGAAGAGTTTCCACCAGCAGTTGAGACCCTGCATCTGGCCTTCCTCTTAAGCCTGCATCAAGTTCATCTCTCCTAGTGAGCGGGTACCCGGAAGCCTCAGTGTTAGTCTTGTGTCTAAGATGCAAGAGTCCTTTTAAGGTTCCTTCTATATGGAGGAGACAATGGGGCCAGAGGACAAGAAGGCCCAGACTCCACGTGGACGAGCTGTGGTCATGTTCTCACGCAGAGGTGGAAGTTGTGGATTCTGGACCATTCGGAGCACACTTTCCTTTAAGGGCATGAGTGGGGAGGGAGAGAAAGTGAGAGAGAAGAGTAACTCCTGGGTCTTTTCATCAACAGCTTTGATTAAGGGCCCTGTATGCTCTATTATCCGTGGAATGGGCTGCGCAACCGAAACTGCCTGCGGCTTGCAGAATTTGACCATCCTGGAAAACGCGAAAATCGAAACCTTCTGCTCCAGTGAGAGTCCCCCTCTCAGGTCCTTCTCATCTGCCCTGACTTGTCTCTTCCTAATCAAAGCCTTGCTTTGATCCCTTGGGGACTGTCACTCCCATGATCCTCCCTCACATTCAGACACATCAACCACCTTTCATGACTCCTTTACCCAGCAGGGGAGAAATAAAAACCACTGACTGTACTTTATATGGAAAGCTCTTACTTTCTTCTTTCTGGCACATTTCACAAGACTGTGAGCTCTTTCATGTCCCTACCCACACCTTGAACCCCACCCCCACGATGTACAACCTCTCCCAATATTATCCATCTACACTCCTCATTTGTAACTGTCCATTGTCAATGAAAAGATTTATTTTCATTTTTTGGGGGCCAGAGTCTCACTACAAAGCTCTGGCTAGCCTGCACTTCACTATGTAGATAAAGCTGGCCTTGAACTCAGAGATTTGCCTGCTTCTGCCTCTAGGTGCAAGGATTAAAGGTGTGTATCACCACAGCCAGCCTAGAAAAAAAAAAAAACGATTTTGAATGAACAATTCAGAGCCCAGGAGAATCATTTTCCAAAGTGTATTGAAGTCTCTGGATATGGTGGTGTTTGCAATCCACTTAGGAGGCTGAGGCAAGAGGGATATTGTTCCATGCTTACCAATATGGGCTATATGCTGAGTTTCAGGCCAGCCAAAGCTATGAACATGGCAGGATGCTGCCTCAAAAAAAAAAAAAAGATTAAATACAATGAAAGAACAGAAACTAATAGTGTTGGGAAGATAGGTCAGTTGGCAAAGCGCCTGTTTAGTAAGTACAAAGATCTGAGTTTGATTCCCAGAACCCAAGTTTAAACAACCTGGCATGGAAGTATGCGCTTGAATTCTAGAGCTGAGAGAGGGGAACACAAGCAGATCCCCAGACTAACATAATGGGTGAGTTCCAGACCAGTGAGAGGCCCTGTCTCAAACATAATAACAAAAATGGTAGACGGCACATGAAGAGTAAGAGCCGAGGCTCCCCACACAGAGCTATGTGTACACACATACCGACCCCCCATACACATTAAAATAAGACATAAGGAGGCAAGTACAACCAAGCCTCCATCACCTCTGAACCACGTGTGTGCAGTCCTTGCCATGCACTCTGTATAGCTCTGCATCTTAGGAGATGGGCACCAGGATACGGGTGGAGGCTGTGAAGGCGGCTATAAATGCTTAAAAAAATGCTGAAAGGCTGATGGTGCTTGAATCAAGGGCCAAGAATGTTCTCCCTTCTCACTTGGGGTCTGGAATGTTAGTAGCCACCGTCACACTTCCTGTGATGCACACGAAGAGAGATTTTGGCTGAGGAGAGAAGCCTCCCTACGATCCAAACTTGTACCACGTCCATGTGACGCTGATGCCACAAAGCAGCAATTTTGCTTAAGAAATCCCTTGGTTTAGTTTCGGTTTCTTACAGGGCCCTGTTTATCTCTGGAAATCACATGGAAGAGAAGAGTGCCCCGGCAGTTATTTCTTATGTGGGAGTTGGCTCTCTGCCCCTGCCAGGCCTTACCTTGGATCTCCGGACACCTGGCTTCCTCTTTCTTCTCACAAGCTCTGCCATCCCTCAGTGTTTCTCAGCCTCTCTGCAAAGCTGTGTATGACTGGAGGGAGCCCCCTCCTCCAGGCCTGCCTACACAGCCCTTACACTGTCTTCATGCACCTAAGACTGTGTGGGGTAGATTTCATGTCCCACTGTGGGGCTGAGTCTCAATATGAATGAAGATCAGCCCTGAGACTGCTGTTTGTTAGAAATTCACTAATCTGTTGTCCAAATCAGGATGTCCATTGCCTGACCATGATGTCGGGGGGAATCTTACTGAAGTAATCTACTGGGATATGAAGGATTTGGGCTATACCTACTAGCTTGACAAACCCATCTTAATCACAGTGAGAGGATCACAGACCCCAGAGCAGAGACCAGCCCAAAAGGATTGTGTTGTCTTTCTAATAGAAGAAACAGGTCTCAAACTATCTCCTGAGATTCGTGGGTTACATTTACCCTTTCCACTGAGGTTGGGGTTTGTGTTAGCTTGTAGAGGTCATGGGGGAGTGCAGAGAAAATGCAGCCACGTGGGTTCAGGTCTGGGGAAGGGAGGAAGTTTCTTTTAGCTTTTACCCTCAGGGCTGCATGAATGCTGCTGTGGGGTGTGTTCCATTCCTATACCAATATGGGGTGCTCAACTCCTACACTGCTGTGGGTGTGCTCGACTCCTAACTGCTGTGAGGGGTGCTCGACTCCTATACTACTGTGGGGGTACTTGACTTCTACACTGCTGAGGGATGTGCTCGACTCCTATACCACCGTGGGGGTGCTCGACTCCTTCACCACTGTGGGGTGTGCTCGACTCCTATACCACTGTGGGGTGTGCTCGACTCCTACACTGTTGTGGGATATGCTTGACTCCTTTCAATGATTTTTTTTTCCAGCATAGAATTTATAGATCTACAGCGCCATAAATACCAACTCCCTTACCTCATCTGGAGCAGGGAGGTGTACCTGCACTTACTCTTTGTTGAGAATAGAAAGCAAGAAACACATTTTGAAAAGGCACAGAACTTTCTAGAATGTGTGCATTGTTTTCAATTCTGGCATGCTTATAGTTGATCTGGGAAGTGGTGTGTGTCCTTCTATACTTGGTGATTTAGTTAGGATTAGTTCCCTCTCTTTCTCATTGCCAGAGAGCTGAATTTCGGTAATGAGAGAAGCTCCTAGCCTTTGTTGAGGGCTTTTGATGAACTAGCCACTGTTCTAAGCAGTTTCTGTACTCAGTCCATTCCTACAGAAGTTCTGTAAGGCAAGCACTGTTTCTTTTCCCAATTTACAGATAAGGAGACAGAGCCAGAAAACTAAATTGTCTTGGTAGTAGATGGTTGAGATTTCAGTCCAATACTTCATGCAGGTAAAAGAATCAAGTTGCCCACTCTATTAGCTGAAGAAATTTAAAATCTGGGACCAGGACGTTTTGTTTATCTTTTGTTAACTGTATTAGATTTACTTTGTGCTGTTTCAAGCTACCAGCTTCATTGAGATTTGGTATGGCTGCAACAGAAATCTAATTTAAAATAGGGAACAGATGTTTACCTTTGTTAACTGTGTGAAATTTCTGTTGCGGCCACAGCAAATCACAATACAACTGGTGATTTGAAACAGCACAAAGTCACAGTTCTGGAGGCGAGTGTGGAACGAGTTCTCCTGAGCTAAAGTTCAGGTGTTCAGAGCTGGTTTCTCTGTGGTTGAGCACGTGGGGACCCATTTCCCTGTCCGTACAGTGGTCAGTGATCACCCGCATCCCTTCACTCTTCTGCATCTTCTATACACATCCCTCCGCTCCGAGTCTGGCTCACAGCCTCTTCCTCTGGGGCCCTTTCCTCTTGTATGATATTAAAAGGACCAGCCTTAATATTATACTTCCCAGGGCCTCAGGAGAGAAACTACGAACGGTGAGAATTATTTTTGGGAAATGAATCTACTAAGTACATCAAGCTCTTTGTCCGTTTACTTTAGTCCTCTGAGATAACATCCTATCTACACAGCTTCAGTTCTGTTCTTGTGCCTAGCTCCTCTTTTGCCTGAAATCTCTCTACATTTATCTACTGTTCCCTCTAAGTTCTGTCTTAATTCTGCCTCATCTAGGTCCTTCTCATCTCGTTCTTACCCAGCTAGTACTTCCCCATCTGGCTCTTCCTCATTTTCCCTCTCATTCACACGTTCTCTCCGATCAAAATCCTCCTTCTCCCTCTCAGTTCTCCGTCCTCAAGTTCCCCTCTCCTCTCTTCCTCTCTGTCTCCTTATACCTCTAAGTTCTATCCTCCTTCTCTGAAAATACAACTGCCTTTTTTTATCCCTTTGACCCTTATCTGTCCAAGCTATCTGTCATTTTTCTGCAGGGTGGGGGAAAGTGTGCTCAGTCACTAGGCAACCTGTGTACAGCTATATGTCTCTGGTGATAGTTAAAGGGAGATCTGGAATTAGAGGTAAGATTTGGGAAAGGAGAAAATTAAGCTTAATTGGCACATCTGCCAGGCCTTCTCAAACAGGTAGCCTGGATGCCTAAGTCTGTTCTTAGAGAGTATAGAGGTATCTCTGATAAGGTACTTTCCTTCATCTGGGGAATGAACCTTGCCAGATGCTGCCAATGATGATAATTACAGGGAAGCTTGAACTGGGGTTCTGACTGTGCATAGCTGTTAGCGCAGAAGGTTATCTGAATATTCCTAGAAGTGGTTAGGTAAGGAGTTAGGGGTCTATAAAGTTAGTAAGACTGTAAGAAAAGGAGAGTCCGAGCTAAATTGTGTGAAGTTATCACTTAAGGTCCACCTGACCTAGGCAGTGTCTCCCTGTAGAGTTAAGCTTAATTTCAGGAGACTTAATATGCGGTTGTTTGGACTGTTATTCCTGTTAGTCCTTGAATATGGCTAAGGGAGATATCTGATTCCAGAGCTAAAAGAAGAAGAAACAGATGGGCCTGAGGGAAAGAAGTCTTTCCTGGTTGTTCTCCAAATACCTCGAATGTATATGTACAAATAGTGATCCGTCTACACTGTTAGCAATTCTTAGGAAAAAAATCAATAGGGAAAGCTGTGAAGCCACACATGATTTTCATAACAGAAGACAGCACTTTCCTTCTTTCCTTTGAGGACCCTTGTAGCTGACCTGTGTAATACAGGGAATGTTCCCATCTCAGGAGCCTTATCTACATCTGCAAAATCTCTTCCACCGTATAAGAACGACACAAACGTTGGGTGGTGGTGGTTAGGATGTGTGCTTATTTATAGGATAGTCTTCAGCAGATGAGGAAAAAACGCAACACTTTGTAAGGTCTTCATAAATGAGAATAATTGGAGCTCAGCACTGGGCTGGAAGGAGCTCTGGAAGGCTTTTGTTGCACCAGTAAGGTCTGTGACTGTCATTGAGGCAGAACTCAACTCCCAGAGGGTGTTGTGTTACCACGAGGAGCAACTCTGAGTTATTGCAGGGGTCAGACATGACACATAGTGTCCTATAAGAAATGTGGCAAGGATGTGTACTTCTTTTGCCTCCTTGGGAAAAAAAAAACAAAACAGAACCTAAACCCCCAAAACCCAAAAATAACAGGGCATGGCATGAAGCCGCTGTGACAGTGTGCTTTGGGGGCCGAGTCAGTCAGAGAA